GATCCCCCTCCGGTGCCTTCTCTTTCTGGGGCTCTACCGACTGCTGAGACTTCTCCTAAGCAACCTTTGTGAAGGCTCCCTCTTGTGTGCTTATTTTGACTCATGTATATGTACATATTTGTAGCTTATCGGGGATATCAATAAATAAGCTTTCCTTCATTTCAACGTATTGTGTTAAATACACCAAAGCCTTCTTCGCTAAGTTCTTTGAATTTTCTTTTGTTAAAGCTTGTATGTTGAAGCTTTCTGAGTGGAGCATGTAGGTTGGGGTAGTGTTCTCTTAATTTCCCGAATGAGGAAAACTTCTCGGTTGGAGACTTGGAAAATCCAAGTCACTGAGTGGGATCGGCTATATGAATCTTAGAACGCCATTGTGCTCGATCCTGTGTCATGTCCTTCGTTAGATCCAAGTACTCTAAGTCTTTTCTTAGAGTCTCTTTCCAAAGTTTTCCTAGGTCTTCCTCTACCCCTTCGGCCCTGAACCTCTGTCCCATAGTCGCATCTTCTAATCGGAACGTCAGTAGGCCTTCTTTGCACATGTCCAAACCACCGTAACCGATTTTCTCTCATCTTTCCTTCAATTTCGGCTACTCCTACTTTACCCCGGATATCCTCATTCCTAATCTTATCCTTTCTCGTGTGCCCACACATCCAACGAAGCATCCTCATCTCCGCTACACCCATTTTGTGTACGTGTTGATGTTTCACCGCCCAACATTCTGTGCCATACAGCATCGCCGGCCTTATTGCCGTCCTATAAAATTTTTCCCTTGAGCTTCAATGGCATACGGCGGTCACACAACACGCCGGATGCACTCTTCCACTTCATCCATCCAGCTTGTATTCTATGGTTGAGATCTCCATCTAATTCTCCGTTCTTTTGCAAGATAGATCCTAGGTAACGAAAACGGTCGCTCTTTGGTATTTCTTGATCTCCGATCCTCACCCCTAACTCGTTTTGGCCTCCATTTGCACTGAACTTGCACTCCATATATTCTGTCTTTGATCGGCTTAGGCGAAGACCTTTAGATTCCAACACTTCTCTCCAAAGGTTAAGCTTTGCATTTACCCCTTCCTGAGTTTCATCTATCAATACTATATCGTCTGCGAAAAGCATACACCAAGGAATATCATCTTGAATATGTCGTGTTAACTCATCCATTACCAACGCAAAAAGGTAAGGACTTAAGGATGAGCCTTGATGTAATCCTACAGTTATGGGAAAGCTTTCGGTTTGTCCTTCATGAGTTCTTACGGCAGTCTTTGCTCCTTCATACATATCCTTTATAGCTTGGATATATGCTACTCGTACTCCTTTCTTCTCTAAAATCCTCCAAAGAATGTCTCTTGGGACCCTATCATACGCTTTTTCCAAATCTATAAAGACCATGTGTAAATCCTTTTTCCCATCTCTATATCTTTCCATCAATCTTCGTAAGAGATAGATTGCCTCCATGGTTGAGCGCCCTGGCATGAACCCGAATTGGTTGTCCGAAACCCGTGTCTCTTGCCTCAATCTATGCTCAATGACTCTCTCCCAGAGCTTCATTGTATGACTCATTAGCTTAATACCCCTATAGTTCATGCAATTTTGTACGTCGCCCTTATTCTTGTAGATAGGCACCAAAGTGCTCATTCGCCACTCATTTGGCATCTTCTTCGTTTTCAAAATCCTATTGAAAAGGTCAGTGAGCCATGTTATACCTGTCTCTCCCAAAAGTTTCCACACTTCGATTGGTATATCGTCTGGGCCTATTGCTTTTTTATGCTTCATCTTCTTCAAAGCTACAACCACTTCTTCCTTCCGGATTCGACGATAAAAGGAGTAGTTTCTACACTCTTCTGAGTTACTCAACTCCCCTAAAGAAGCACTCATTTCATGTCCTTCATTGAAAAGATTATGAAAATAACCTCTCCATCTGTCTTTAACCGCGTTCTCTGTAGCAAGAACCTTTCCATCCTCATCCTTGATGCACCTCACTTGGTTTAGGTCCCTTGTCTTCTTTTCCCTTGCTCTAGATAGTTTATAGATATCCAACTCTCCTTCTTTGGTATCTAGTCGTTTATACATATCGTCGTAAGCCGCTAACTTAGCTTCTCTGACAGCTTTCTTCGCCTCTTGCTTCGCTTTTCTATACCTTTCACCATTTTCATCAGTCCTCTCCTTGTATAAGGCTTTACAACATTCCTTCTTAGCCTTCACCTTTGTTTGTACCTCCTCATTCCACCACCAAGATTCCTTTTGGTGTGGGGCAAAGCCCTTGGACTCTCCTAATACCTCTTTTGCTACTTTTCGGATACAACTAGCCATGGAATCCCACATTTGGCTAGCTTCCCCCTCTCTATCCCACACACATTGGGTGATTACCTTCTCTTTGAAAATTGCTTGTTTTTCTTCTTTTAGATTCCACCATCTAGTCCTTGGGCACTTCCAAGTCTTGTTCTTTTGTCTTACTCTTTTGATATGTACATCCATCACCAACAAGCGATGTTGATTAGCCACGCTCTCTCCTGGTATAACTTTGCAATCCTTACAAGTTATACGATCCCCTTTCCTCATTAGAAGAAAATCTATTTGTGTTTTTGACGACCCACTCTTGTAGGTGATCACATGTTCTTCTCTCTTCTTAAAGAAGGTGTTGGCTAAGAAGAGATCATATGCCATTGCAAAATCCAAGATAGCTTCCCCATCCTCATTTCTCTCCCCAAAACCATGGCCACCATGAAAACCTCCATAGTTGCCTGTCTCCCTGCCCACGTGTCCATTTAAATCTCCTCCTATAAATAACTTCTCCGTCTGAGCAATTCCTTGCACCAAGTCTCCAAGATCTTCCCAAAATTTCTCCTTCGAACTCGTATCCAACCCTACTTGAGGTGCGTACGCACTAATCACATTGATAAGTTCTTGTCCTATTACAATCTTGATTGCCATGATTCTATCTCCTACCCTCTTGACATCTACAACATCTTGTACCAAGGTCTTGTCCACGATGATGCCAACACCGTTTCTCGTTCTATTTGTGCCCGAATACCAAAGTTTAAACCCTGAGTTTTCTAGATCCTTTGCCTTACTACCAACCCACTTAGTTTCTTGTAGGCACATAATATTTATCCTTCTCCTCACCATAACTTCCACTACTTCCATAGATTTTCCCGTTAAGGTTCCTATATTCCACGTTCCTAAACGCATTTTGCTCTCTTGAACTCTACCCTTCTGTCCTAGCTTCTTCACCCTCCCCCGTCTAATAGGATCAAAGTACTTCTTTTGTGTGTCCCGGGTAAAGTTGATAGGAGCATATGCTCCCAAACAACTTTGAGTGGAGTCGTTCGAAAAGAAGTTTCTATGGCCCCCTTGCTCATTTAACACTGCATCCGGGTGCCGATGGAGATACAGCGACCCTTGCTCACTTATCACTGTGCTCAGGCCACACAGCGCGCCACTTACGGGTGACGCCCTAGCTTTAGCGCGATTTTGTTCTGGATTCATTTTCATAAGGATTCGACGTGATCATGGAGTGCCGGCTGTCGACTACCTGACGCCCTCCCCCTCCTCCTTTATCCGGGCTTGGGACCGGCCATGTAAGACATAGGCGGAGTTGGATTGCGTTTGAAAAGCAAAAAGAAAATGCAGGAGTGTTAGGATATGTGCATGTCGATTATGCAGGGGACTTGGACAAGAAAAGGTCAACTTCTAGTTATGTGTTTACATGCGCAGGAGGACCAATTAGTTGGAGGGCACTACTGCAACCAATTACAGCTTTGTCGACCACAGAGGCAGAGTATATTGCATTGGCCAAAGCTGGAAAGGAAGCAATTTGGCTTAGTGGCTTGGTAAGTCAAATGGGAATCACTCAAGATTGTGTGAAGCTGAAGTGTGATAGTCAAAGTGCCATTCACTTGGCAAAGAATCAAGTTTTTTCTGGAAGATCAAAACACATTGAAGCAAGGTATCATAGAATCAGAGATTGGGTGGAGTCTAAAGACATTTGGATTGAAAAGATTCATACGGATGACAATGCCGCAGATTAAGATAGTGATGGCCAAGATCAAAGTGGAGCACCTCCTCACTTGAGGTGCAATGAGGCAAGAAGAAGATTGCCAAGGTGAAGACTCTTGAAGATTTCTAGAGCTGCTTCAAGAAGGTTCAAAGATACTCTGGGGTGCAAGGATCAAGACTTGGTTTTACTTACCAAGGTGGAGATTGTTAGAATTTTTGGGTCGTCAAATATGTCCTAGTCGGTTTGGGTTTGTTTTAGGAAAATTAGAGGTATACCGATTATTGTCCTAGAGCAATTAGGAAAGAATTTCAGTTTTCCTTATTCAATTTAGATTTGGATTTCTAGAAGTCTATTTGGATTTGGATAAATGTAAATTCCTAATCCACTTAGAAATAGGAATTCAATCAACCTTGGGACATGTAAGCCTAACCTATGACTATAAATAGGGTGCGGCAAGGCTTAATTTTTTAGAGAGAGAACAGCCAGAGACAGCCGATAGTTTTGAGATTAGTTCTAGGGTTTGCAAAAGTTCTGTAATCTCTATTATTAATCAAAGGAGCAGTGATTTCTCTACCTTGAGAAATCACAACTGGACGTAGGCAAAAGTTCTGCCGAACCAATATAATTCTTGTGTGTTTCTAAGTTTTCTATATTTGCTAGTTTAGTCTATTGCTGTTGGTTACATTAAAGAACAAGGTCTAGTGGGCGTGTTTTTCAACATATAGAAGCCTTTTAGTGAATGTTTAAGTGACTAGGAAACTCAAGGTGGCTTGGCATCGACAGGTGACATCAAACAAACATGTTTTCCTACTTCTATGGAAAATAGCTTTGTTTATCTAAAAAATTGGGTAAGAAAATACAAGAAATTTGGTTCCACAAAACTTATTTGTTCCTTCAATTTTTTCATGAAACAATTGGGCCTGAATAAGAATTAAGAACTAACATATTTCAGGGATCGGACAATACGAGTTCACATTAGTGTTAGAGAGCACTAGTTCTTACCAGCAAAATGTAGCCAGAAGCATCCCGATGAACAAAAAATGAAAAAACAAAACGGAAATAACTACAAAAACAGCATGTGCAGCACTATGGTCGTACCTGAAATAATAAAAATAATATATAAGTCAACAAGGGATTCCTCACAGAACTCTTAGACCCGTCTAAACCTATAAAAATAAATAAATAATATAAACTGCAATTAGGCTAGAACTTTTGAGGCAAAGGCAATATCAAATTCAGATGAACAACTAAATCCAAAATGCAACTATTACATGTAGAGTGTAGGATTAGCGAACAGTAAACTTACGCGGCACAATAAGCCAGAGTTGCAACTGCAAGTAGAACGCTGCAGATTACAACAAAAGCAGGATCATCGCGTGCCCATTGATTCTTAGTTTCTGAGACCAAAAGGAAAGTAAACCAATTTTCAATTGCATCAGATGTAGCAGAAATATTTCACAATTTTGACATGTAATCACTTCGAAGGCACACAAATAAAACATCTGCTTCTTATTTTTCATGGAAAAGGGACTTACGCTTGTGATATTTAGTGTGCTGATAGCTGCATCAGTCGCACAGTTCCACATACAAGATACAAAACTCATTATTAAGGAAATCATGAGCAACAAAACACAACAGTAATGAGGATACTGATGATCTGGAAAGGTGAATACTTACACAACTTTCGGTGAGGTGCATAGGTGAAGCATTTGCCAAAAAGTATATTCAATATCCATTTGTTGCCACTAAAAAACCAACAAAAATCAAAAGAAAAATCATTGGTACATGCCTACAAAATCAAAATTATAACAAACTGGATGTAGCATGCTAACTTGTTACTGATGAAAATGTTCTAGCTTCTAGAACCAAAGTTAAAAGAGATTTCAAAGAGACAACAAAACAGACACGGATGTGCTGAAAAAAAATCCGGATTTCAGACCTATACCCAACACCTGGTTATGCAATAGATAGGACTAGAATTCCAAATAACATGATTATACATCAACTCAATGTTCAATTTGCTTCACATCCAAGAAAACTTCTTGGTTGCCGAAATTGATATTTAGTTTGTAATTTGCACAGTACACAGCCTTTATTTAGCAGATCTGGATGCCCTAACAAAATGCAGACTAATATACATGTACCAGGGTCTCAATTAATGTGCAGGCACTGTAAAACCGGGATTCCAAATGAGACTAAAAACTTACATCAAGCTGTGTGGGTTACATCAAGTGAAAGGCTCAAAGTATGATTGAATTAGATATATAGACGCGATCTCCAACCCCCTCCCAGTAATAACATATAAAATCATTTATTTGGTCTATCAGCCGCTTTATCCAAAATGCTAAGTTACTGGATCTCTGTATTGTTGCTCTGAACCCACCATGGTGGAAAGTTCCTCTGTTCTCTTACTTTCTTAAGCCATTTCGCAACATCAGTGTAAACTTTAGTTTTGCCATTTTGAAAGTGTGCAGTACGGAAATATTTAAGCGCTGATTTCTGAATTCCAGAACCGAAGCATCACACCGACTTCACTCCGATATCTCTTTTAAAAAAGAATACCAAAGTCACTCTGTTTTAACCTAGGGCAACTTCTCCACGTGAAACTAGCTCAAATGCACCACATTTCCCTAAAATACCTTCCCCATCTAAAAATGTGATGTTCTCCACATTCAACTGAACAAAGAACTCTCAAAGTCTTCCGAGACCGATGCCGACAAACCTTACCAGCCCCTCAAACAATTGATTACAAATGAGGCCGAACGCACTTGAAAACCAAAAAAGAACCCAAAATTCGGCCGCACATCCACATTCCAGAGCAATCAAAGGCACTAATTCTTCCAGAATTCAGAGTTTTTACAACATTATTCGTCGAATTAGATCCAACCCACAAATTATGAAATGCTTAAGCAGAAAATTAGTACGCAGATCAGATCTAAAAGTATAAACCCAGACAATTAGAGACGAAGAAAGCACCTTGATTATTCTCCGAAGGTACTGAATGGGCATGGGGTTCGTCCGAGATGAAGAGGACGACGACCGCCCTCTCGACGTTGTCGGCAACATCTTCCTCTCTCTCTCTCTCTCTCTCTCTCTTTCTCTCCTATCTCTGTCTCCTGATTCCTCTGTGCTTCTTCGCTTGGAATTCTATGCACCTCCTCTTTGCGGATCTACAAAATCTCTGTACTTACCACCAGCTCTCTCTCTCTCTCCCCCTTCTCCTCGAAAGAGTTCAGAATTTTCAGATGGCAGGAAGCGAACGTAGAAACAACGACTACTTCAGTTCCCTTTGCGCTTACGGCCCAAGTTTCGATCAATTCTCACATTGGGCCGGACCTGGATTTTGAATTGTGAGGTTGGATTGTGATTTCTCTATACTAAGGTCTTATGAGCAATAGGCAATTCAATCTCATTAAATAAATAGAAACTGTAAATAATAAAGTAATTGTTTGTAGTGAACAATAATTGTCCGAGTACATCTTCAGTCCTAATCTGAATAGCCCAAGCAATTTATATTAAAATATTAGTATTTTTTGTTTTATAAAATAATAACAGATAACTTTATTTTTAATTTTGGATAATAATAAAAGATTGGTTTAAATAATATTTGAAAATATTGAAATGTAGTGTAAACTAGAACTGTGGAAGAACACATTTAGGTGTTTATAGAAAAAAAAAATTATAATTTTTAATTTTTTTTTATTGTTTTTTAATCATTTTTATAATTTTTTTAATAATTTAAATTATGGCTGACATCATAATGACGTCAGTCTTACATCACATAGGTAAGGCACTGGGCTAGGCAATTATTGCCCGACTTCCCCATCGGGCTCTCCTTGAACCCAATTGCCTGAAGGGGTTGGAGTGTTTTTGGGAGGGGGAGTGGATTGGGTTGCCTTATCCCCCAAGGCAGTAAGCAACAATGGAGCTGCTCCAAATGGATTGTTGGACGAGCAAACTAAAAGTGACTTTGATAAAAGAAAAAGGCTTATTTTTTGCTACGCTCCTTGGAACTCTAGTTTGATCTCATTTTGTCCCATGTAATTCAAAAGTCATCCCTTTATCGTTTACTCCTTAAACTCAAAATTTTATTCCACTTTGACTTGTGTACTCTCTCTTTTCCCTAGAACTTATAGGTCGCCTCCTAAAACATATGTAGGACCCAACACTTAATAAGACTATGTCACATGTGCAATAAAATTTATTATAAATCTTCATTATGCATTAACATTCAACAATCAGAGAACATTAAGTTTAAAATAAATTGAAGAGATGCCAAAAAAAAAAAAAAAAAAAAAGATTAGCCTAACGCACCCAAATTAATATATCTAAGGCAATGGGGATCGAACTGAACAAGATTACCAACCCCAACAAACTCCTTACCACCCCCAGACTCAGATTCGAGCTTTGAATGCTCGAATATGTGGCGGATGAGAAGGAAACCAATCAGGCCATGGTTTTCTAACCATTTTCCAACCACCTCCAGCTAGTTTATGGCCTCAAATTAAGCATATTAGTGATTTACTCCATAGCTTCATTTCCATATATTTTATGTGAACTTTGGTTGAAAAATGGCTCTGATATACTTCTGTGATTTTTCTAGGCAAAAAATTCAAATTTGGTGAGATTCCCTACAGTGCATGACAGCCTCGACAATTAGACTCACCAGAGAGGAAGACGGAATATTTCGTCAATCTTGACGGAATGTTCCTAATGACGTTAACAACGTCAACATATACCACCAAACCAATGTAAATTTTGTTAACTATAACCCTTCACGTCACAGTTAACGTTATCGTTACTGTGATGGAGTATTACGCCTGGCGGCGAAATATTCTACTCGATGACGAAATATTCACTCCAGTGACAAAATATTCCATCTTCGGTGCATGTTTGCACAATGCCTGACTTTGACCTACGCATAGCAGTGCGTGGCAGCTCTAACCGCCGCATGGTGACACATCTTGTCATGTGACATCATGCCAATCACTTTCCAACCACTTTTAATTCCCAAAACAAGCAAACAAAGGAAAAATATTTAGATTATTTGCATTACTATTAAAGTATTAATTAGCATGGTAAATTCTCATTTAAGAGAAACATAGCTAGGCAAGGCAACTATGACCCCACAATGTAACTGTGAGTAGATCTTTTCTTCAAAAGTTTTTTTTTATTATATTAGTTTTCGTACTTGTGCTTGTGTTTATTTGTGTGACATGTCATGTTTAACTTAGAAAATAATAATTACCTACACTTGGTTATTTTATTATTATTTTATGAGTATAAACTGTGGCATGTATACACTTGTAATTTATCTACTCATTTTAAAATGTATGCACGGTGTCACTTTTAGTTGTATTGTCTAGGCCAGGACTAGCTTCATGTGTATGTTCACATGCACCATTTACAATAACTTTGGATCTAGAGTAGGTGCCAGCTTGCCTCTAGTTTTGCATTAGGCAACTAAGACTTGTATGTGAACGTTTAGTGCCAACGTCACGTGATTATAGTATTAGAATGTAAATTATACGCCTAGCCTGTTTGTGCAGTAACTTTCTGCATGATTTGTGTGCTTACATGACCTTATGAGCAATGATAATTTGTTATCACTATTGCTTTTAATGTTTCGTACCCGTATTCTTTTATTACTACATATATTGGGTGCTATACAATATACTTATGACTAATAAGTTAGTTTGGGAAACTATACTTGTTTTTTAGCGAAGGGTTACAACTTTTACGAAAACAACGATTTTTACCAAACTTCGCTTTTTGGTCCACTCACCTTGGTTTTCGCCCCTCCACAACTTAGTGATGGTACTCTTGCGGCGACGAGGATTATTGGCAACGCTGACATTCACTGATGTTAATGTAGGAAGTGTTTTCTTTATGTACAAACATTCCTCACTTTACTGTTTGACTACTTATGTTATGACATCACATGTATAATAAGGGTTCCCCCCGTTATTGCCGACTCATTATTAGTTAAATTAATTCTACACCTTTAGGTTTAATTTATTCACACTTTTTCATATCACATTCACTTATGCCTTCGTTACTTTTCAAGTGTTGACCAACACGCCTTCCGGGTCGGAGTATGTTAGTTTGGTATCAAAGCATAGGTTTAGGTAGCCCTGCAATCATCACTGCGCTAGTCATTCTTGGTGTAAAATGTAGAACTATGCCACCTGGCTGAGCATGTACCACGCTAGCTTTTCCTGATTTGGGCAACTTGGAGCGACTATCGCTGACGCCGTCCAGATAACTTTCTGCCATTCTCGGAAGAATGATTTGGATATCACCACTGGTATTCAAGCGAGAATACTTCTATGGCATGGAGATCATGAATTGGTCGAAGCTTGGTTCGAACATGTTGAGAAGACGTTTTGTGCCATGTAGAGGCAAGGAAACTTCTCGGTTGATCAATAGATCGTGATGATAATATGGTTCTTGCAAAGATTAGTAAAGTCATGGTGAAAGTATAAGAATGAACAGATCTCGAAAGATGAAAAAGAAGATTGGATATATTCAAGTGGCGGTCCATATGGAGTTCTTGCTTCCGAAGTACAAGACCCGGAAAAAAGACGAATTCATGGACCTAAAGTAGGACAAATATCGATAGTTAAGTACCAACGGAAGTTCATTGTCTTGTCTCAGAATCCCCCAAATTCCTATACTAAACTCCCAAATTCCTATACTAAACTCCACACCTCCGAATCCAGAAGTAGGGCTTCTCTTGCACGACATGTTGTTGGGCAAACCCAAAGACGGGGACATGCAACTGGTGGTAGGGCCGGAAAGGAAACAAGCCCATGGGTCTGACAGGAAACTAATGCTACCGTCTAGGCCACCGACGGCAGCTAGTTCGATGGCGCTTGTGGAGTATACGCCGCTTGTGTTCAAGGAGGAGGAAGAGGACCTCAAGATCAAGCTTCGAAGGATTCTCGAAAATTTCCCGGTTCGCTTCAATAACACCTCCGGTAGTTTTCTCTGGCAACTTCCATCAGGTATGATACGCGGATGCATTATTACAATAGTGACCTTGATTTTCCTTGTGATTGTAATTATTGGATATTGATGCTTATTTGAGTAAATTACTGTATAAATTGGAGTAGATTGAGAGAGGATAAAGGGTTTGTGTTCGGTTGTCTGTAGAAGTTAGGGTATTCTGAACTTAGATAGCTGGAGCTAGAACTATGGTTAGGCACGGGTTGGGTCGGGTCCAAATTTGGAGAAACCCAACTCTAACCGTATGAAAATGAAACGGGTCGGGGCAGGGCATATCGTCATATTTTCAAAACTAGAACTGGACCTAACCCGGCCTATTTCTTACAGATCCTACAGCTCCCCATGTAAAGCTTTTCTGCAATTCAATATGGTATCTACATATGCACACAATCTGCTTCCCAAAAAAATCCAGCATTTAGCATTTCTCATGCCCCAACCTAAATCCCCAAATAGAACAAATTAATAAATAAAAAAATATTCAAATACAATTTCGAATTTATCAAAAAATAAAACAAAACTAAATCCTTAATTAAGCTAAATCCCCAACATTTTTTATGATTTTTTCAAGCAAATTAACTGAATCCCTAATTCCTAAATCCTAAAATTCGAATTCAGGATAAAACTGAAATTAGATGCCGAGAAGAAAAGAAGTAGGAGCCTGGAGGTGGTAAGGTCAGAGGTCGGTGGACTACTGAAATTTAAAGTAGAAGAAAGAGGAGAAGAAGAAGGCGGCAGCGGAGGACTTACATGAGGAGAAGAAGAGGCAACCGTCTACGGACGCGCGAAGCAACAAATTGCGAGATCTGAGTGACTTCAACGAGAGCTCAAGGGCGGTGCATTTGCAAGTGTGTTCGTCTTCTGAGAGAACTTGTGGAAGTTAGAGGATAATATAGTGGTGGTCGGAGTCGGAAGAAAGAGGCCTTGAGGTTGAGGCTCG